TAATTTAATAAAAAAATAATAAATATACTCTTATTGTTTGCTAAACAAACTCATTTATTAATTGAAAATTTTTTTTGAGATATTAATTAATTGAAAATTAGCAGATTTAGAATTCATATGTTTTTATCAACACTTAAATAATTTAATAATTATTTTTTTATTAAAAATAAAAATTTTTAAATTCAAATACATGACATACAAGTGAAGGTGGAGGTGAAGTAAGATAAAAAATGACGTGCAGATGAAGGTGGAGTAAAATAAGGAATAACGGATAGTTTGCACCCAATATATATAAAAAAGAAAATTCACGTGTTTTTTTTTTTTTTGGTTTTTCGCTCGGCATTTGAGGCTTCGCCTCGACTAATCCGGACCTGACCCGCGTTGCGCACCTGTAAATAGTGGGTGAGTCTCCTAGCGAAGGCTGCTGCATACACAAGGATTCGAACTCGAAACCTTACTTAAACTGGAACAAACCGCTTACCATTTAATCCAACCCTCGTCGGTAAAATCCACGTGTTTTCTTGCGGAAAAAAAGAAAAAGAAGTGGAAAAGTAGAACAAAAAAGGAAAAAGGAAAGTCCTTGGAACCTGCCCTATTTATGGAAAAAATTCAAACCAGAGCATGAATTTCGTAACAGCATGGTGGAAACAACCTCTTTGTTTCTGTCTTCCTTCTCCCAAGTTTCGTTTCAAACCCTATATATAACAGCACCACTCCAGTCTTCTTGATCCATCCCTCAAGCGAGCCGAATATTTTGATTTTCCGATTATGGAGACCAAGTCTCGAGCTCTCGAATTCACCGTGTTGTCCGCAGAAGAGCTTCGAATCGATAACAGATATCTGAAAAAGAATGCATTCGCCGTCGTTTCAATCGATCCTCACAACTTTCGCATGACCAAGGTCGACTCCGAAGGAGGAAGCCATCCTGCCTGGAACGAGAAGTTCGTCATGGATTTGCCCTCGCAGCAGCGTTTTATCACCCTGGAAGTTAAATGCCGGACTTCCTCGGGGGAGAAGAGCATAGGTTCAGTGAAAGTTCCGGTGTCGGAGTTCATCGGAGGGTATACGCCGGAGAACTGCTTGCAGTTTTTAAGTTATAGGTTGTTGGATGCAAGGGGAACTCGGAACGGCATCATAAACTTCTCGGTTAGGGTGAAGGGACCGGAAAAGGCGTGTTCGTCGCAGGCGGCGGGGATTGGAAAAATTCCGATCGATGGGAGGAGGAATTTTAGTGGGATTGTTA